CATTTTTGTTAATTTTTTGGCTTGCACATTCCAGGAGCAGTCAGGTAGGAAACACTTTAACCCTCAGGACAGCTGCAGTGACAATCCTCAGGGCGGAGTGCGCTACTGATTCAACATGCACAGTGTTGCCCTCGCTGTTTGTCACTATGGCTACTGTAGCTCTTTGTTAGTTTCTTGGGAGGAGGAGGCACCTTAGCAAAAAAGCTTTTGCCAAATAAGATTTGAAATAACTTTATTTTGAGCAAAACATTTTCCTGTTTTTTTGCTCTGTTGTTGCTGTGTCACGTGGTGCCTGCCAGTTAGAGCTAAACAGTCAGTTTTGCTGTTTCTATGCAGAAAAATGCTCACATCACAAGTCAGTGTCTAGGCGTCCCGGGAGGTGACTCTGGTAATGTGTATTTTCATTGTTCATTTCCACTCTTAAAGCTCCAATTCTCCTGACTTTTTTCACATTTTCCTAGGGTGCCATCCTGTATGTTAAATCCAAAATTGATTATTTCTTCTCAAAGGCAGTGTTACCGTAATTCACACAGTTTAGATATATTATACAAAAGTATTTAAATCTATTCAACATTGTTCATTAAGCTTCTGTTAGAGTCATAAAAAATATCTTGGCATGTCTGATTAATTCAGCTGAGTTCAGTTTTTAAACAGCATGCTGTTCTGCAATGTGTTATTTATTGTTAAAACCTAGAATTCATAAGTGTTTCCAATAACTGAGAGGGATGGGGTATTTTACTAAGATATCTATCATAATTATAATAAATTTAGGACTGTGGGCTGATTTAATTAAATCTATAAAATATAGAAGTGATAGGAAGTGAAAATGGATTTAATATACTTCTAGCATCATTTTGTCTAAAAGCCAATGTTCCGTGAACACACTGTTGTTCTTTTCCCTCTGCAGACCTGAAGCAAGCACTGCTAGAAATGTGATTTTCTACAGAATTGACAGGCCGCTCCCTCTCAGACCCCAACCCTTCTTTTCTCCTTCTCTTTCCTCCTGGCCCCTTACCGTTCCTGTTTCCATTTCTGCTTTCAGACTCGTTCCTTCTTTGCTTAAAAGACAAGATTTTCCTGGCCCTGTTGCACCCTAGACTCAAACAGTTTGCTGAAAATACCAATTTGCTGTCTTTCATCACACTATATTTTCTAGAAGATTCTATCATCATGAAGCACCCCCAGACTGGTTGAAAACCAAAGTTACTTCCCCTTGGAAAATCCTTGTGGACACCCATGTTGGCATTCAAATTTCCAAGTTGTGGCTGGGTGCAGTGGCTCATGCCTTTAATTCCAGCACATTGGGAGGCCACGGCAGGTGGGTCACCTGAGGCCAGGAGTTTGAGACCAGCCTGGCCAACATGGTGAGACCCTGTCTCTACTAAAATGGCAAAAATTTTCTGGGCACAGTGGCAAGAGCCTGTAATCCCAGCTACTCAGAGGTTGAGGCAGGAGAATCACTTGAGCCTGGGAGGCAGAGGTTCAGAGGTTGCAGTGAGCTGAGATCATCCCACTACACTCCAGCCTGGGTGACAGAGCCAGACTCTGTCTTAAAAAATAAAAAGGCAAAGAAATTACCAACTTGGGCCAGTGATGGGGTCTCCAACCTCAATGCTGTCACCTTCAGGCCTCTGGGGATTACAGCTTCTGCTGCAGCTCCCCTCTGCACCTGTGCTATTCCTCTGAGCCCCATTCACTCCCATAGCTGTCTCATTCATTCACTGGTTCACTCAGCCTCCAACCACCCTTAAATCATGTCAGGCTCACCAGGAGATAGAAAAATCACCCTCCGTAGGTCTGACAAACATGCCTGAGTCCTGACGGGTGGGTCTTGTGTTCATTTCCACCCCCTCACAGCACCCCCAGTGTGGGGAAGAGGCCACGGCCTGGGCTCAGAGCTCCAGCTCTCCTCAGGGTGGGCCTGGCATTTGCTGACTTCAGGGAGGGCGGCAGGGCTCACAACTGAAATAGGAGACCTGTCCTGGGTTCTTAGCATGTGCAAGGATAGGGTTCACTGTAGAATCTGCTCATTTCGTCTGTGTTCATAGCATTTGTCATTTTCCACATGTGGACATCCATGCCAGAAGGCTGAAGAACCTTGCACAGGATTATTCAGCCATAATATCAGCTGACTTCCATGTATGTCTCAACGCATGATTTCTAGATCGCACCCATTATACTCACCTTTGGGCTGCTTCTATCCCTATCCTAGGCTGGCCTGAGTCTGGTGGCCAGATACCTGCAGGAGGGGTGAGGCAGAGGGCCCAGGTGGGGCACAAAGGCACCTCCTCCTGTCACCTGGCTGTGCTGCCTTGGAACTCTCCTGCCAGCCTCCTTTTGCCTTCCTCCTGCTCCCCCATCCACTGGCCCAGGTCACCCTGCCTCAGGGGTGGAGCTGCCAGGGCCTTCCCAGTGGCCTTCTCCCAGGACTAACCCAGGCTCCTGTCCCCAGCCCTGTGCATGGGAGGTTCTTCTCACACACAGATCCTGGGACCCATCAAGCTCTGCCCCTCCTAAGTCTGAGAACTGCCCACCCCCGTGTGTCTGCTGTCCTCCAGACCACCCTCCACGTGGCCCCTCCTGCATAGAGGCTCCAGTGCATCAGGCCAGCACCTTCCAGGCTCTTGTGTCCCTGCTCAGTCACAGAGATGGCTGCCATCCCATGCCCCTGTCCTAAAGCAAAGACAGGCCCTGGGCTTGGTCCAAGGCCTCCTCCCCTTTTCCACAGCCTCAGGAGCCTGGGGACGGAAGGTCACCAGGTGCAGGTCCTCACCACATGGAGACTGTGTGGAATGGGAGGTCTGTGCCTATTTTTCTCATTCAGTGGGGTATAAGCTGAGTGGGACTCAGGGATTCTGCCCAGTCCTCACCCCAGGATAAGCCCTCCCTTGCAGCCAGGGGCCACTGGGCCCCCACTGCCCTCTGGCTTTTGCCTACAGGTCTGGATGGTTCTATGATGACCAAGACAAGGATGCACTAGGGTTGCCCCTTTGAGGACGGCTGCAGTGACCACCCAGGGACTGAGCAGAGGGGCGGGTGCAGCCGTGGGCTTAGGTGTGGTTGGCCACAGAAGAGGTGTGTGTTGAAAATAGATGCTCAGTGATGCAAAGAAAAATCAGCACCAAGACAGACGATCTTTCAGCAATGCAATTTTTACTTCCTGGACTGCAGGAAGGTACTCTCACTAGCCATCTTGCCATGAGAGTGCAACGAATAAAGGAAAACACACAAATTTATTCCTTAGGCATTTGGGGTCGTCCTTACTGCTGCATCTGACTGATCTCTGTTGGCTGGAGCCAGACCTCACAGTCTAAACTAAAACCCAATTGGCTAACAACTTAAAACTTTTCTAAACAGGTAAAAGCAATGTAGAGCTGGGACATGTCTGTGAGTATGTCCAGCACAGATATTTTGGTTAAAGTACAGGGACATAGAATGTCCTACTGCCTGTAAGCATGGCATGTCTAACAGCCACATAGCATAGGACCTAACAGAGTTATAGTACCCTTATTCTTTAACAAGAAAGGAAACTTAAAAAGGGACTTTTCTGCTTCCCACAACGGGGAGCAAAGTGAGCCCCATGCATGCATAGTCCCCTCCCTCAGCTTCTGCTCTCCATGGAAACACAATTGATCATATGATTGATCAGGGTAGGCCACTAGGGCTTTCTTTTCTTTTTCTTCTTTTTTCTCCCAGAAGTCTTAAAGGAATACAGAATATACTCAAAGACCTCCTCATGCTTTTAATGAAGAGGCAAAGAAGATCTGTTCCGGACTGGGGAGGCAGCTGCGCTCGGAGACTGGGCAGGAACTCCACTGGAGGGTGGCCAGGTGTCTCTGGCACAGGCAATGACAGGAATATGCCTCGGCCACTGAATATTCCTGTGGAAGTTTCTTCACCTTCCTGGGCATCAGTGTTTACCTTGGGGTAATAATAAATGTTGTGTTATAGGGTCCAGCCCTACAGAGTTCTGTGAGCCCCTCCTGGCTGATGTGGAGATGAGAAATTATAGAAATAAAAGACACAAGACCCAGAGATAGAGAAAAAAGAATTTGGGCCCAGGGGTCCACTGCTACCCAAATTCGCGGAGACCAGCAGTGACCCCGAATGCCTGGATGCTCTCACTTATTGAGTTTCAACTCTGGGGGAAGGGAAGGTTGGGCGTAGGTAGGGCATGGCCGTGGTGGTCGGTGACTGGGGGCAGGGTAAAATAGGGCGTGGGATACAGGTGGGGACTGAGGAATTAGTTAGCTGGGATGAGGTAAAGAGCACAATACGTCAGCACTTTTTCATACTTGTTAAGAAAGAACAAAGACATTAAGATTTGTATTACTCTTACCGATTATTTTTTCTAAGGAAAAAGGAAAACCAGGTACAGAAATGGAACATGAGAGTAGACATGGAGTGTGACCACTGAAGCACAGTGCCACATAGAGACAATTAAGCCCCCCAATGTGTGGGGGACTCCCTGACAGCCATCAGGCTTGTCAGAGATAGAGAGCTTGGAGAAGTAGAGTTTTCTCCTAACTCCTCCAGGGAAGGAGACGTCTCAGCTATTTTGGACATCTCCTTCCCTCGCTGGCCAAACAGCGGGTGCTTTCCCACGGCTGGCACTGCCGGTCAGCCAAGGCGCCCTCCAGCTGCCCTTATGTGAGCCTGACAGAGGGTTTAAAGCGTCTTGCATTAGACTAATTCATTTCACAATGTCACCCCTGGTTCACACTTCTGACCTGAGAGGCATTAGTAAAAGAATTAAAATCACCTATTAATAACTAATAACTACTAAGGTTATATTTCTAGTTACTTTCTTCTTCATTATTTGTATGGAAATAGGCTGAGGCTTTTGGCTCCTGCCTCGGCACTTATGGGGTCTACCCCTACACCGTGTCGAAAATTAAAGGAGGCGGTCATAGAAGGAACAGTGTCAGGTTGCGAGGGTGTGTATGGAGTCCGGGCTGGCCACCCGCCCATCTGTGGGATGGGGCGGGGTGGAGAGGGAGGGTTCGCAGGGCCTGGGGCTGGCTGACTGGACTGGGTAGAGCATTCTAATCCCAGCGATTTCTCCGCCGGTCTCCGCCTGGACCACGACTCTCGTCCCCTGCGTTCCAGGACCCCAATGAGACCCCTCTTGCTTCTGCTCCTCTCGTGTTGGTTCCTGGCGTCCAGCTGCTCCAGGGCGGGGCCTGCCAGTGAGTTCCGAGGAGGGGCCCAATTCTGGGGGGCTGTGGACTGCAGCGGGTTTCAGAAGAGGGGAGACAGGCCCTATCTCCTCGGACTGCGCTCTCCCTCAGTTCCCTTCCGCGGCTCCTTTCCCCCAGGGCCAGGGGAGTTGTGAAGGTAGGCGAAGGCTGGGCGCCGCGGCTCACGCACTTTGGGAGGCTCAGGCGGCGATATCAGGAAGTCAAGAGAAAAGAAAAATAAAAAAGAAAAAGAAAGAAAGAAAGAAGGCGGAAAAGGAACCTCAGGAGGGTGGAGGAGTCAGAGGGCTGTAGAAGGCGAGGTGGGGCAGGGATTCCTGGTGCAGTCCGGAAGCCCCATTCGCTGTCGGGAAGGAGAAACCAGAGCCCCTGGAACTCAAGCTGGGGTCCCGACAGGGGTGAAGTGGAGTTCCACAGAGACCCGATGACAGACACCCCCACCAGCCACAGCCCTGCTCTCACCCGCTCTCCACCACACAAACCCTCCAGCACCCCCAGGGCTCCCTGCCCTGGAACTTCCACCTGTGCTTTCCTGCAGACACTCACCTGCACCCAGGGGCTCAGAAGACACTTCCCACCCCTCCCTCACCATCCACTGCCACCTTTGAGGTCACTCCTTTCACTCCCCACTTCAGCCCAGCCCTGTCATTCCACAGGCCTCCCTCCCCTCCCCAATGAAGGGGCCCTTAGCACCTCCCCAACCAACTGGCACCTTCTCCCCACTTTCTTGAGGACACCCCAGCAAATGCACCCCACGCTTTCCACAGAACCTAGTGCAGCGGGGATGGGAAGCACCATTTCCCCCAAGATGACCCTGGGAACACTGGTGAGTAGAGGTGCCCACTTCTTTTTTCTTTCTTTCTTTTTTTTTTAAAGAAAGAAAGAAAGGGAAAGAGAAAAGGGGGAGAGAGAACAGGAGTCTTGCTCTATTGCCCAGGCTGGAATGCAATCTAGAAATAGGTATTAAAAACCTCTTTTATGCTGATGATTGTGCTTAACAGCAGAGATGGGAAGGAATAAGGAAAGAAAATAACAAACAAACAGCCAACCAATATTTTGTTTAAATCTGTGAAATGCTGTGCAAGTGCTGAAGAGTGATTTGCTTCCATTTATGTGGTCACTTTCAAAATAGGTGTCATGTGATACTAAAAAAAAATGTATGTTCTGTGGACCTGGGATGAAGAATTCTATAAACATTCACTGCGTTTATTTGTTCCAGGTCTGAGTTCAAATCATAAATGTCTCTGTTAATTTTCTATCTCATTGATCCATCGAATATTAACAATGTGGTGTCAAAGTCTCCTGCTATTAGCGTGGGAGTCCAAGTCTCTTTATAAGTCATTGAAAACTTGTCTTATATATCTGGGTGCCCCTATATTGGGTACATATATATTTATGATCATTGACTCCTATTGTTGCATTGATCTTTTTATCATTACACAATGTCCTTCTTTGTTTCTTTTAGTCTTGGTTACTATTGTAGTCTATTTTGTCAGAGAGGAAAGTTACAACTCCTGTTTTTTTGTTTGTTTGTTTTGTTTTTCTTTCCACTCCATTTGATTGGTGAGTCTTCCTCCAACCTTTTCTTTTGAGTCTTTGTTGTCCTTGCTTATGGGATGAATCTGGATACAGAGTGCTGATGTGTTTTGACTTTTTATTCAGTTTGCATGTCTGTCTTTGATTGGGGTGTTTAATCCATTTAAATTCAGGATTAATATTGATATTTGTGAGTTTAATATTGTCATTTAATGCTGGCTGGCTATTTTGCCCATTAGTTGATGTAAATACTTCATTATGGAGATACTCTATCTTTTGGTAAGTTTTTGGGATGACTGATACTGGTTGTTCCTTTCTGTGTATAGTGCTTCTTTCAGAAGCTCTTGTAAAGCAGGCCTGGTGGTGATGAAATCTCTGAGTGCTTGCTTGTTTGTGAAAAATTTTATTTTTCCTTCATTTATGAAGCTTAGTTTGGCTGGATATGAGATTCTGGGTTGAAATTTCTTTTCTTTGAGGATATTGAATATTAACCCCCACTCTCTTCTAGCTTGTAGGGTTTCTGCTGAGAGATCTACTGTAAGTCTGATAGGCTTCCCTTTATGGGTAACCTGACCTTTCTCTCTAGCTGCCCTTAGAATTTTTCTCTTTTATTTCAACCCTGCTGAATCTAACAATTATGTGTCTTGGGGTTGCTCTACTTGAGGAATATCTTTGTGGTGTTCTCTGTATTACCTGGAGATGAGTATTGTCCCACCTTACTAGGTTAGGGAAGTTTTCCTGAATAATATCCTGAAGAATACTTTCCAGCTTGGATTCATTCTCTTCATGACATTCAGGTACACCTATCAAACGTAAATTAGATCTTTTCACATAGTCCCATATTTCTTGGAGACTTTGCTCATTCCTTTTTACTTTTTCTTCTCTAATCTCATCTTCTCGTTTCATTTCATTAAGGTGGTCTTTGATCTCTGATATCCTTTCTTCTGCTTGATTAATTCGAGTGTTAAAACCTGTGCATACTTCTTGGAGTTCTCATATAGTATTCTTCAATTCCATTAATTCACTTATATTCCTCTCTAAATTGTCTATTCTCATTAGGATTTCATCAAATCTTTTTTCAAAGTTCTTAGTTTCTTTACATTGGGCTACAACATATTCTTTTAACTCACAGAAGTTTCTTATTATCCACCTCCTGAAGCCTAATTCTGTTATTGGAACACACTCATTCTCCATCAGGCCTTGTTCCCTTGTTGATGAGGAACTGTGATCCTCTGTAGAGGGAGAGGCATTCTGATTTTGAGAATTCTCAGCCTTTTTACGCTGGTTTCTTCCCATCATTGTAAATTTATCCACCTGTCGTCTTTGTAATTACTGACTTTCAAATTAGGTCTCTTAGTGGATGTCCAAGTTGTTAATTCCCAGGGCCAAAATCTGAGCAACCCACTGTGCCAGCTAAAACAGCGGTATCAAGATTCTTGGTGCTTTTCTGTCCGGGAGTCTCCTGTCTGGCTTCCCTCCTAAATCCCTTCTTCAATCAGCTCCAAATGTCGGCCAAAAGGGGAACCAGTCCTATTTACTCTGCACCAAGAACCGCCGTGCTGGGGCACCGGCAAAACCACAGAGCCAGCTGTAAGAATCGTGCTGGCGACCCGTGGGGCTCCTCTGCTGGGAATCTCCTGGTCCTTGTGCAAGAAAGATTCATCTAAAAGTGTGGCGTCCTCTCGTTCTCTGTGCTTTCACTGGGAGTTACAAGCCTGAGCTGCTAGTGGTCAGCCATCTTGGATCTCTCTCAGAGGTGCCCACTTTTGTCCTTAGGGCCCAGACCCATCTGTTCATCCTACTGGGGAGCCAGGGTCATAGAGAATAGTCACCGTACAGACAGGAGTCAGCAAACCCTTTCTAGAAAGGAAAGGCTGAAGGCCTTGCCGGCCATGGGTTCTCTGTCTCTGTGTCAAGTCCTGTCCCTTTGTAGAGAAACGGCAGGCAAAGCAACCTGGAAATAAAAGGGAGACCAGATGAGGACACCATCCTAGGTTGCTGAGCCCAGATGAGGGCACCGGCTATGTCCTGGCAATTGGTGCCCCATCCCCTAGGGTGTCATCTCCAAGTGGTGTCAGTTGAAGAGTCACAAATGTGTCCTACCCTGCCTGTGGTTTCTGAGTGGTGTAGATATGATGGATGTGAGTGGGGGCCCCATGGCTTAGGGCCAACTCTCCCCTCCTTTGCTGCTGAGTGGCATCAACGGTCCAGCAGGACCATTAGGGACCCTCTCTGAAGCCTCAGGTGTGAGCTGAGGGTGAGGGGGTGCAGCCTCGTGGTGTCCTGAGTGTAGGGCTAAGGGCCCCACAGGGTTGTGGGGTGTCCCTTATGTTGTGCTGAGGTGCAGGATCTGAGAAATAAAGAGACAGGACACAGAAGTACAAAGAAAGCACATCTGGGCTCAGGGGGGCCATGCCACCTATAAGTGGAGTCAGGTAAGCCCCTAAATGTACAGAAGCATGAGTATTTATTGGGTTTAGGTTAAGGAGCAGGGTAGTGAGTGAAGTCATCTTTAAGGATAGTGACAGGGTCAGAGCAATAAAACAAGGGATCCACCTCCATTAGGTCACCTAGGCTAGGAGGTGGACAGTGCGCAGCAAGTGGTCCACCCACATTAGGCCATCGAGACAAGGAAGTGGACTGTGTGCAGTAAGGAATCCAACCCCATTAGGTCACCGAGGCATGGCGTGCGCAGTGAAGAGGGTGAAGTGTGCAATACCTCTATCTATGGGCATGCTACTTCCAAAAATATCCATAGGAGGATGCTTTAAGTCACAAAGCAGGGACAGAGCTGTCAGGGTTTACTGCCACCTGCTGGCAGCTTCCAATTTCCATAGGAGGATGCTTTTTAGCCAGCACAGTAACAAGAGCTGATAAAGTTCACAGTCAGCAAGGTGCTATTATCCGGAGGGGTTTTGAGCCCTCAGATGATCGAGGGATTACCAGTCTGAGGGCAGCCTTTCACAAGAACTGGACGCAAGGTCCTACAACTCCTTTATCAGGAGGAGTGGCTCTTGCCCCAAGCCTGCCATACAGCAGGCATCTTTATGATACTGAACGCTGCCACCTGGGTGATGGATTTTTGTCCTGGTATAACTGTTTTCCCTTAAATCATGCTCTGCACTGTGTCTGCTCTAGACATTGCACCAACTATAAGATGCTTATTCCTTAATTTATGCTCTGTACCGTGTCTGCTCTAGGCATTCATCCTAGATGAATGCAGTCAACAAAGATATAATTATATATATATATATGGAAATAACTGAGTAGTAAGACATTCTTAGGCATTCGTTCATATATGAACGAATATATGATTATACGTAGATGATTATATAAAAGGAAATAACTGAGTAGTAACACTGTAAACTGAGATATCCTTCAGGCACTAGTTGTGCCAGGATTCTGCTTAGCTCTTCTTCCTCGGTGCCTATATTTGGGGTGGAGGCGGGTTACCCACACTGGGGACTGGGACCAACTGCTTGTGCGGCTTCTGGGTTCCCTGTGGCTCTGCTCCTGCCCATTCCAGGAGAACCACCTGCATCTTTTTATGGCCTGGCCTATCTTCCTAATGACCTACAGGGTGAGTAGCCCCCACAATAGGCAGCTCTGAGGCTGCATGGTAACTGCCCTCCCACAGCTGGAGGCCCATCTCCACCAGGGTCCAGTACTACACCTGGAACCACTTTCAAATGAGGGGATTTCGCTGCTGTGAGTGGCACAGCCTTGCTTCTGAGCACTGGGGACCTTGTTGTAATTCTGTGGTTGGGAATTGCCATGAAATCCACACAGCACCTTTTCCAACCACACGTGCCTCTGGGATCTTAGGGAGTCCAGGATCAAATAGCCGTAGTGGCAGGGCCAGCCTCGCTCCTCATTCACAGACTGTGTATGGCTGCACCCAGCTACAAGGGCAGGGTTGAGTAGTGACGGGGAGGTCATATGACCAGCACAACCTGTAATAGTTGTGGAATTAACGACAAACTCTATCCCCTCCTGGTACAAATCCAGGAAATGTGAAATTACCATCAAATAGGTCTATGAACGCAGCACATCCCTCTAACTGGACCTGACACAGGTGTCCATCTGTTACTTTGCCCCAAATGCACCTCATGAGTAACAGGGGACCAAGTGAATGTTTCAGATCCCTGGGAGAAGGTTGGGTCGCACACTGTATCCACTAGGTGTGTCTGGGCATTTGCTGTTTCTTGGTGTACAGTTAGCAGAGTGAATGCCCATTTGACTCCGTGGGGAGGCTGAAGCAGTCACTGCAGTTGCTGTGGGTTGAAGGGGCCACCAGGGGCTCCGGGCTCTTCTCCTAGTCATGGACTCTGGTCTGAGATGTGGCTCAGTTCTCAAAGTTGGGCAAAAGAGCTTGGTTATTTTTCGGGGAGACTACTTTCAGCCTCTAGGTCATCCAACCTTGCATTTTGTCTTTGTTTGTTGTAATTATTTAAACTCAACAGTATCTGTGTGGAGTTTCATTTCTTTTGGATCTTGGACCCCTTTGTTCTATGAGCCATGGGTATAGCTTTGCATGGCTGAGGTCCCCAGCTGGCATTGGGACTTCCCCAATCATTTCCATCATGGCGCCCTCCATCCTCCTGACACTTGACAGCCTCCACTTGAGATCTGTTATTTCAGGATTTTCCATCCCCATTACTGCTGGGAGCCCATTTCAGGAACAGCATTTCCTATCCCCAATCCTGGCCTTCAGTAATGGGCACCCCTGAGCTTCATGACAATCTGCTGCCTTCTCCTAGGGCCTTCTTTATATGCTGGGTAAACAGGAGTCCTCCAGGCTTCCCATGAGCACAGAGGAGGGACATTATTCTGGATTTTCATGCTGCAGCCACTCTGGCATGGGCGCTTCTCTCGGCCTTTTGTTCCTTCCTCTACAACCCGCCTCGTAAGAGCTGGGTTTTTTGTTTCATGCAGTGTGGGTCATTCCTTTTTCCAAGGTCCCAAGGGCAACCTATAGCAGATGAAAAGCACATTCCAGGAAACTTACCATGTCTTATTACCCATAGTAAAGAAACTCACCCTTATCCAATGTTGACTACATCATACCCACAGCACCCTGCACTGATCCTCAGGGCGCCCTCCCACGCTCTCCCACCTCCCGCAGTCCACCTGGGCTGCTGCTGAAGATCCTGCCATCTAGGCCCTTCCTCCTGTAGCAGGCCTGGCACCTCCTTGGCAAGGTCCTGTGCTGACCAATGTATGTATAGGCCTGGGCAGAGTGGGGAGATGGACACATTGGCGACCCACGGTTCCTCCACAGACAAGAGACCACTGCCCAGGAAGACAAGCCCATGCTCTGGCAGCCCAGACCTGCAGGAATCCCTCTTGCTGTCACAGTGTCTGGGGTCTTTCCCCCACCCCAACACTCTCCGGTGTTTTTCTTTTTTTCCCATAGACGCTCACTCTCTCTGGTACAACTTCACCATCATCCGTCCGCCCAGACCTGAACAACGGTGGTGCGAGGTCCACGGCCAGGTGGATCAGAAGAATTTCCTCTCCTATGACTGTGGCAGTGACAAGGTCTTATCTGTGGGTCGCCTAGAAGAGCAGCTGAATGCCACAGATGCCTGGGGAAGACAACTGGAAATGCTGAGAGAGGCGGGGCAGAGGCTCAGACTGGAACTGCCTGGCATTGAGCTGGAGGATTTCACCCCCAGTGGTGAGTGAAGGAGACCGAGGACAGAAGGGAGCAGACTGTGGGCTCAGGGGCTGCACTGTGTGCGGGGAGAAGACATTAGACATGGGGCCTCCATGAAGCCCAGCAGCAAGGGCAGGACTTGGAGGAGACAACAGGGTCAGATGAGAAGGGGCTCAGAGGAGGAGGATGTGGGGCAGGAAAGAGAATTTGTAAAGACCAGAGCTGATCTCTTTTTGATTGGAGCAGGACCCGCCAGGCTGCAGGCCAGGATGTCTTGTGAGTGTGAAGCCGATGGACACAGCAAAGCATCCTGGGAGTTCAGATGTGATGGACAGAAGTTCCTCCTCTTTGACTCAAACAGCAGAAAGTGGACAGTGGTTCATGCTGGAGCCAGGCGGATGAAAGAGAAGTGGGAGGAGGACAGGGAACTGACCGATCTCTTCTGGAAGGTCTCTGTAGGAGACTGCAGGAGCTGGCTTCGGGACTTCCTGATATGCAGGGAGAAGAGGCTGGAGCCCACAGGTGACTACAGGGGAGCACTGGGAGCGCCTGGAGATGCCACTGAGTTACAGCCTTGTCTGTCGTTGTCTGTGGTGGGTGGGGGTGTATGGGTGTGTCAGTGTTTGTGTATGAGTGTGTGTGGGATTGTCAGTGTGTGAGTTTGAGTAAGAACATGACCCCTCATGGGGACTCCTCATGGGGGCGCCTGTGCTCTCCCATCCTCCTCTCCCTTCTCTCTCCTGACTCATCTTCCTCATGGCACTTGCTTCTGCTTCCCTCACTGTGAATTTCTCGCCAGCCTCGAAACTGTGGGCGTCATTGTGTTTCTAGACCTTTATCCTTAGATTTGCCTCCTAGGATTACTTTTCCTTTCCTCTCCCCTTGGTCTGTTTCTGGAAATCCATCAAAACCACCTTCAATGCCAGCCCAGAGATCCTCCCTCCCCCGCCCTGGGGCATCACCTCCTCTTCTGCCAGAACAGGAGGGTGGGCTGTGCTGTCACCTTGCTTCCCTTAGCAGCTGTGTGAGCTCCCCGAGGACAGGGGACACCTCAACTCCCTTCCTACCCCAGGACCTGTCACAGCTTCTGCCCCACAGCAGAGGGGGACAAAACCTCTGCCTTGCAGGATGACCTGGGGTGGCAGGAGCTGAGGAGGTGTCCTCATAACATTTGGGGCCAGGACAAGGGTTGTCACTCTTGTGTTTCCATTTCAGCACCACCCACAGTGGCCCGAGGCATAGCCCAATCAAAAACCACGGCTACCACCCTCAGTCCCCCAAGCTGCTTCCTCATCCTCCTCTGCTTGATCCTACATTGCATCTGCGGAGAATCCTTTAGAGTGACAGGTACTGCGGGCAGAATTGGGAGGGGAGCAAAAAGCAGATGGGTAAGGTGGGAGGACAAAGAAGGAGTATTCCCAGAGTCCCACCCTTCGCCATGGCAGGGACCTTCTCATCCTAACATAAGACAGGTGAATGATACCTCATGACATGTGTTGGCAGTGACCTGGGAAGCTCAACCCTGAGTTCTGATGGAGTCTGACCTTCAGACGCCAAAGGGAAAGGGAATCACCTATATCAAGGCTCAGGGCCTGTTGAGCTCAAGAGGGATTAGCCAATTCACGCCTGTTGCAGAGCAAATTATTATTCAGGGAGGGTAGTGGTGTGTGTCCCGCAGGCAGCAGGAAATCAGACATGGGCAGGTCACACAGTAGGAGAGGAGAAGCATGGTGGCTTCACCTAGGATGTCAAGGGAAAGGGCATCCCTGAAGGAGGCTAAGAAGGAGTGATCTGGGGGAATCCCAGGAGGAGGGGGCTGTGAGGGCCTGGGTTCACCCCATTCCAAAGGCTACATTCCCAGAGAAAGCAGCTTGGGTCCCAGCAGTTAAGGTGGAAGGTGAAGAGTAGAGCATGTCCAGGATGAGGTTTAGGAGAAGGCCAAGCCACTATAACCCATGGGATTGCCAGCAGGGCTCTGCGGCAGTGCCCCTGCCCTCCCGCCTCCTGCACACTCCAGATCCTGAGCCAGCTGAAGGCCCTGCCTGGAGCAGAGTGGACGCAGACAGGGAGCTGAGCTGCTGCTGGAGTTCCATGGTCACCACTGAGCTTGGCAAGGAATGAATGGGGCAGGGTGGGGACAGTTTCATTCAGAGCTATGGGTGCAGCTCCCAGGGTGAGAAGAGGCTGAGAGCAAAGGAGAAAGAGCAGGTTTGCCTGCAAGTCCACCCAAGGCCAGGGAACATGGATCCAGAGACCTCTCTTTGGACAGGACACCCCAAGATCCTCTAGACCCTTCTGTGAGAAGGAGGAGCAGGCCCTGAGTGAGGGTGCAGACCCCTCTTTCCCAGCCTCAGTTCTGAGCCCCCGTCGGCTGTAGCAGGGCCTGGGCTGGCTCTGTGATGTGGTGAAGGAGGGAGGAGGTTTGGAGGCTGCAGAGCCAGGGGGAGGGTTGGAGGAAAAACATGGTCCTTATCTGGGGTAGAGGCTCCAAAATGGGGAGGGCCTGGGAGGGATCACCCAGGAGAACAGACCCAGGTTTTTCTCAGCCACTTAAACCAATGCTTCATCTTTTCTGAAGGTGGAAGATGACACCAAGAAGCCCCTGTTAGGCTGGAATGCTGTGGCTATTCACAGGCGCGACTCCACTACTGATCAGCACGGGAGTTTTGACCTGCTCCGTTTCTGACCTGGGCCGGTTCACCCCTCCTTAGGCAACCTGGTGGCCCCCTGCTCCCAGGAGGTCACCGTATTGATGCAGAACTTAGTGAGGACACCCGATTGGCATAGCACACTACAGCGCAGAACTCCTGGACTCAAGCGATCCTCCAGCCTCAGCCTCCCGAGTAGCTGGGACTATAGGCATGTGCCACTGCACCCGGTGAGATGAACACTTTTCAAAAGAAGACACACAAGTGGCCAAGAAACATGAAAAAATGCTCAATATTACTAATCATCAGATAGGAGCCAATCAAAACTGTAGTGAGTTACCATCTCTTACCTGTCACAATATCAGAGATGGTGGTGAGGCTGCAGAGAAAGGAAACAGACACCGTTGGTGGAAAAGCGAACCTGTTCGCCACTGTGAAAAGCAGCTTGGAGATTTCTGCAAGAGCTCAAAATAGAACTACCATTCAACCCAGCAATCCCACTTTTGGGGATATACCCAAAGGAAAAGAATTCATTTTATCAAAAAGACACCTGCACCCATATGTTCATTGCAGTGCTGTTCTCACTAGCAAGGACACAGTCAATCTAAGTGAACTGAATGAAAACAATGTGCTGCGTAGACGCCATGAAAATCTGTGCAGCCATGAAACACAGCAAAATCATGTCCACTTCAGCATCACGGATGGAACTAGAGGCTGTTATCCTACGCAACCTAATGCAAGGACAGAAAGCCAAAATACTGCATGTTCCCATTTGAAAATGGCAGTTAAACATTGAATTCACATGAACCAGGCACTGGAGATCACTAGATGGGGGAGAGAGGAGGCGCACCTGGGCTGAAAACCACCTGTTGGGGACTCTGCTTACTGTTTGGCTGATGAGATCGTTGGGACACCAAGCCTCAGCCTCCCAAAATCTACCCGTGTAACAGCCCTGCGTGTGTACCCTTTAATCTGTAATATAGCTTGAAATTAAAGATGAATAAATAAAACAAAATGATGTAAGTCCAAAAAATGGGGTTAACTGACCAAGGTAAAGAACTCTGCACTATGAACTTTAACCCAGCTCAAAAAAATAAACTGTAGTCATTTAAGATAATCGTAAATTGTATGATGATAATTGTGTAAAGATTATACATGAAAGTGCCAAAATCCTAAAATTAAACACTGTATAATGGAATTTCAGATGATTTCCATCTTGTTCTTTATACCTTTACTTTTTGTTCCATTTTCAAGTGACATGTTTTATTTATCCTCCAGAAGTCACCTCCTGCACCCAACCCCTCCTTTTCCACTGTCCACCTCAGCCCTTCCTCAGGCCTGGGACTGTGGCTTCCTTAGTACTGAAGGCACAAGAGCTGCATTCAGCCTTGGGAGAGAGGAGGATGCAGGGCAGGTGGTGGGGGTGGTTTTGGCATTGCAGAGAAAACTCATAGCTCAGGTCCTTTATCCCAGAAGACTGCATTTCTCCACCAGGTTAGCTACAACCAAGCCAACCTTGCCCCTGTCTTCATTTTTTTTTTCTAATTCTTTCCAACTGGTACGTGAACATTTATATTATTCCTCCTAAGATTTCTTTCTACGTCTTGTCTACACAATATATCCTGATTTATTGTGCCAGAAAACACCAGACTCACCATGTCAGTGACAGTTGCAAAGCCACAGTCTCCACTCGCTGGAGGGGCACGTTGGGCTTGGAGACCCATCAAAAGCCACAGCCCTAGAGAACTAGTTGGCCTGTCTGGAACTCACTGAAAAAGCCCCATTCATTGGGTTTGTCATTATTTGACCTCCTGAGGTCTCTCTCTAGGGGAAAAGCCAGATCCTCAGAGCATTGGATAAAAGCAATCATTGCAACTGTACAACCCCACTAGTGGGGGAAATTGAGAGAAAGATTTGGGGAATAAGATGTGTGTAGGGGCTGGCACATGCCCAGGCAGCACCTGAGAAGGCCCCATCTCTGACCTTTGGCTGACCTGAAGGTTCTGTTCAGGCAGGAAGTGGAGCTGCAGTGGTGACGGCCGCCCGCCCGAGTGCTGCAGGGGCAGGAGTGCACCACAAACACAAAGCCCTCTACCCTGGGGAGAGACTCGCTGGCTCAAGGCATCGATGCAAACCTCTGCCCAACCTCACCCAACTGAGCAGAGACTTCAGGGGCCACCCAAGACAGGGAACACAGATATGAGATCCATCCAGGAAAGTCACTAAACAAACAGCAGTGACACACCTTGAAGAGAGGGGACATCTGATTTTCAGAGCTGCCACATGGGATTCTTGTAAAATTCTGTTTCATCTAAAAAAACATAAGACATGCAAAGAAGCAGGGAAGGATCCCCAGACACAAACAAGGAACCAGCCCCTGGAACTGTCCCCAAGGAAGCCCATCTGTTGGCCTTAGTGAGTTACTCAGTGTCACTCCAAGGCAATGTTAATCAAGGGGAGATTGTGGGGAGGATGCTATCCAGCTTCCTCATTTCCATGGAGACAGGACTCAGAAGAGGTGGTGCTAGAGACTGAATGTCTTTGTCCCCCCAAACTTAATCCCCAATGTGTACTAGGAGGGGAGGCTTTAATAGGTCATTAGGTTATGAGAGAAAGGGGTTGCAGGGCTAGGCTCGGTGGCTCACATCTGCAATCCCAACACTTTGGGAGGCTGAGGTGGGCCGATCACTTGAGGTCAGGAATTTGAGATCAGCCTGGCCAACATAGTGAAACCCTGTTTCTGATAAAAATACAAAAATTAGCCGTGCATGGTGGCAGGCACCTGCAATTGAGGCTACTTGGGAGGCCAAGGCAGGAGAAGCACTTGAACCTGGGAGGCAGAGTTTGCAGTGAGCCAAAATTGTACCGTTGGACTCTAGCCTGGGCAGCAAGAGTGAAACTTTGGGAAGGAAGGAAGGAAGGAGGGAGAAAAGGAAAGCATGGAAGGGAAAGAAAGAAAAAGAAAAGAAAACATGGAAGTAAATCTTTGGGACATTGGGTTTGGCAAAGGCTACTTAAGTACTGTATGCCAAAGTACTATTGCCAAAAGAAAACCAGTTTAATTTGACTAATTCCAGAAGTAATAAATACTCTGTGCTTCAAAAAGAATGCCATTTAGAAAGTGAAAAGACAACTTACATCATGGAGAAAATATTTGCAAATCATGCATCTTGTAAGGGGCTGGTATCCTGACTATATAAAGCACTCTTACAACTCAGTATTGTGAAGAGAAATAATGCAAAATAAATGTGTGGAAAGGTTCTGAATGGACATTTCTCCAGAAAAGTATGCATTATCACTAAGCCCATAAAGAGGCTCAACATCAATAGCCATCAGGGAAACGCAAATCACACCAAGGAGATGCCATCTCACCCAGTAGAAAGGCTATCGTCGTAACCACAGTGAGGACATGGAGAAACTGGATCTTCACCCCTTCCAGGGGCAGAGCCAGAGAGATGGAGTTGGGGTGGAGTGTGGGAGAGAGTGTGGTCTGCGAGACTGTCATGGTGAGTATTATATGTCCAGTGGATTGGATTGAGAGATGCCTAGGTGGCTGGTAATGTACTGTTTCTGGGTGTGTCTGGGAGGGTGTTGCCAGGGGAGACTGACATTTGGGTCGGGGGACTGGGAGAGGAAGACCCCATCAGTGTGGGTGGGCATCATACCATGGGCTGCCAGCTGGGCTGGAAGAGGGCAGGCAGGAGAGGGTGGGGCTCTCTGGCTTCTCTCTGCCTCCCCTGCAGGTGCTTGCTTCCTCCCTCCTTGGACATCAGACTGCAGGTTCTTTGGCCTTCAGGATCTGGGACTTGTACCAGCAGTTTCCAACTTCCGGGGACTCTGGGACCTTTGGCAGGGGGCTGAAAGCTGCCCTGTGGGTGTCCCAGGTTTTGAGGCTTTCTGACTTGGCCTTACCTCCACTGGCTCCTCTCCTCCCCGGCTTGCAGACGGTCTACCATTAGACTTCACTTTGATATCGTGTGCGCCAATCCGCCCTAATAAATTCCCTTTCATATATATATATATATATGCCTATATCCTATTGCTGCAGCCTCTCTGGTGAACTCTGACTAACCCGGGGTAGGGGGGTCTCTGTGTCACCCTCTCCCATTTTCGGGACTGGGGTTTCTTCTTGTTCTCCTGCCGCCTGCTTCTCCTTCCCTTTCTCCCATCCTGTCTCTGAACCTACTTTTCCACACGTCCATGGGTTTCCTCCGCCTCAGGACGTCCATCCTGGAAGGGGTCCCAGCCCAGCGGAGGAACCAGGAGCCCGGGACCACAGGCGACAGGGTTGGGGAGGAGACGGCGAGGAGCCGCTGGCCGGACCCATGGACCCTCAGGACCAAGTAGGTCACGGGCGCCGCCCACCAGCAGCCTCCAAGCAAGCAGGAGGGGGATCCGCGCGGGAGCCGCACTGGGGGAGCCCCAAGTACCCCAGCAGGAAGGTGATGTCTCCGAAGAAGCCGGGTGTCAAGTCCTCCAGACCCCCGCACCAGGCTGTAAGAGGAAACAGCAGCCGCCGCTGACTCCCCATCACCTCAAGCCACGAGAAAAAACCGTCCCCTGCCTCGATGGGCGAGGCCTCCCACGTCTTCCAAAGGCGGTTCTGTCCGCAGCGACCTGACTGAGGCCGGGTCCCCCCTGTTGGGACTTCCGCGGCAGCCGGGCGACCCCTCTGGGGCCTCAGGCAGGCGCGAACCGGACCGATTTGGGCGCAGCCTGCGCTGCGGGAAGGAGAGGCGGAAATGGAAACCTCCCCCACAAACGAAGTTTCCACGAAAGACTTTTGCAGTTGGAATCCGCGAACGCCTTTAATATCCTCCCTGAGGCGCGCAAGAGGCAAACGGGACTTTAGAGCGACTCCGACCTGATTTCACCACTCACAGACACTCAAAAAGGAACTACACAGAGAAAGTACAAAACCCAATCCCTGCTCTTTGTGAAACACGCGTTTAAGAAAATAAAGAAGCAGCGCTCAAATGGTAGAAAATATTTGCAAAACAATAAAGTGAAATGATTTTCTGGGACAGATGGGAAGCAGGAGAGAGACAGGAGGCGGGGTGGAACCTCAGGGCGTTTCTCCCATCACTCCCAGCTTCAGTCCTGCAGGCCCCTCCACTCCACCCCCTGGTCAGGTGCAGGGCCTAGGCTGACTGTGATGTGACAAAGGAGGAAGGAGGTTGGTTCAAGCTGCAGGTGCCAGGGTTGAGGTTCAAGGGAAAAACATGTCTGGAGTAGTTAAAAAAGGGTTGTCTGGAAAAGTGATCCAGGTTCTCCTCCGACTCTTAAACCATCATTTATGTCTTCTCTGAAGGTTGAAGATGATACCAAAAAGCCCCTGTGAGCACGATCTTGATAAAACTCAACCTCTGGCTGGCCACCTGCCAACTGTGTGTATCTCTAGACCACGAGGAGTTTCAGACTTAGCAGGTTTAGTGAAATACTTCTGTTTCTCCCTCCTTTTGAATACACCTACTGTGTATTTGTAGAGCACAAAGAGTTTGGTGAAGGTTTCTGTCTTAGTCTACACCAGCCTAGAAACTCTGAACTAGCAAAAATGAAACCAAAATGCTGGATGGAAAACATTAAGTCTCAAATATATTAATGACTTCTGAGTGACACATAGAAATATTAACCTCATCAATCTAGATTTCTCCACATATGTTCCAGAATATACAGATCAACGAATGGTACAAATAAAATGCCATCACCTGTACCTTCAGCAAAATGAGGCGATAGGAAATGCCCAATCCCTCAGATCTCTGTCTGTTACAGACATTATGGAAGCCATTGGTGAACATTGAGTGGAGTGTGAGCATGAGGTGGTGTCTTGCATGGATGTGAAACTGTTTTGGTGATTATACTGTGGTTATTAGGAGAATGTCCTGGTTTAGAGGAAGAATACTGAAGGATGGGACATCAGGTGACATCATTAAAGGTGTAGGGCGCACCAGGGTGACAGCTCACTCTGAAGTGGCAGAAAGAGAAGTTCTCTGGACTGTGCTGCAATGACTGTAGTTCTTGCTTATTTCATAATTTTTCATACTATTTGAAAAGCACATCAAGAAATTCAAGAAAACTTACTTTTTAGAAATTGATGTGAATAGGTAATTTCACAAATACAGCACAGCTCCTCCTCCTCCTCCTGCAAAGCCAGGGCCTCCAGGTGTTTCCCTCTCACCCTCTGTTCTCAGCCTCAGGCAGCT